TATTCCCCCCCTCCACTCCATCCTTGTTTGCTTTGAAACCCAAGAAAAGTCTAGGGACCAACAACTTCCCCAGCTCTCCATCCTAATAAACTGTATTGCTCTCAACATTTCAGAAAGATGAAAAGCATTTTCTTTTCACATAAAAAGCTGTGAAAATCCTACATGTGCTAATTTTGTTTTAACTAAACCATTTGATTGTAAACAGGCCCCTTTCCCCAATATTCTAGATAACAAAAATTTCACTATACCTCACCTATCTGTAGAATAGGACCTGACAATTAGCTTTTTCAACTATAATATAAATGCCTGGCATTAAGTGTTTTTTGTTTGTTTGTTTGTTTGCCAAGGCATCTACTTCAAACACACCCAGTCTGAATAAACACACTGCCAGTTACATGAGTAGATAGAGCCAAGTTTCCCCACCATGAACTTCCCCCCCTCTTTTTTTAAGGCGGCTCTGGTAGACTTAGATAACTACATTTGAGGACTGTTTGTTTTTCCCTTCCCATGCTTCAATTCCCACTCTTATGTTTTAAATTCACCATTAAAGAATGTACCTGTGAAACCCTACCTTTTACTCCAATAAAAACAAAACACCAGGCCTCCTCACTAGCTCCCTCTCACTCTCTCTCTCTTTTCCCTTCAACCTCATTATGTGGTCCCAGGCATGTCATGTAACCTCCAAGACTTGTGAGTAATAAATTTTTCTTTTCAAAGTTCCCTGATGGTTGATAGTAGGGTGTGTCTTTCAATCATAATGAGAACCACAAGGTCTGGTCCAGCCACAACATTGACTTTGGTTGGGGAAGTATCTGTAGGGGTTACTATAAGTAATATAGGCCCAGGTGAGTGTCCCCAGGCATTTCTAGTCAATAACGTCACTATAGATAGACTGAGACAAACCCAAAACACCATCTTGCTAGAAATATTAATACAGGTTAAATAAGTAAAATCCCTCCTTTGACAAAATACAAGCTATTACATTTGCACCAAAATAATAATAATAATAATAATAATAATGCACAAAATGTCAACTCCCTTCATTAAACTCTTCTCCTCCAATATAGTCCACAAAGCTCAATTAAATAAACACTACACAGCACTATAAAACCCATTAAGAAATTTTTTTTAAAGATTTTATTTATTTATTTGACAGAGAGATCACAAGTAGGCAGAGAGGCAGGCAGAGAGAGAGAGGGGAAGCAGGCTCCATGCCAAGCAGAGAGTCCGATGTGGGGCTCGATCCCAGGACCCTGAGATCATGACCTCAGCTGAAGGCAGAGGCTTAACCCTCTGAGCCACCCAGGTGCCCCCCATTAAGAAATTTAAAAATACCAAATTCAAATCATTTATGAGGAGAACTTACAGCAGCAATAATCTATATTTTAAACTTCTCCAAACACCAACACCAGACAAAGACACCATAAGAAACTACAAACCAATATCTCTTATCACTATAAGTGCAAAATTCCTCAACAAAATACACGCAAACTAAATCCAATTCACATTAAAGAATTACATACTATGACCAAATGGGATCTATCCTAGGAATGCAAGGATGGTTCAACATAAGAAAAACAATCAACACAACACATTAATAGAGCAAAAGGAAAAAGAATACATGATTATTTCAAAAGATGCAGGAAAAAATTTGACAAATTCCAACACCCTTTCATGATATAAACACTCAATAAACTAAGAATAAAAGATAAGTTGCTTAACAAGAAAACAGGGATTTTTGGAAACCCCCGGCTAATACCATACCCAAGGTGAAAAGCTGAAAACTTTCTCCTAAGATCAGGAGCAAGACAGAGAGGCTCATTTTCACCAGTTCTACTCAGAATTCCACTAGAAGTCTTAGCCAGAGCAATTAGGAAAATCAAAAGTAATAAAAGCCATCCAAACTGGAAAGAAAGACGTAAACTACCTCTATCACAGATGATATGATTCTACATATAGAAAATCCTGAAGGATCCACATAAAATCTACCATAACTAATAAATTAATTCAGCAAAGCTTCAGGGAATAAGATCAACAAAGAAAAATCTGTTGTGTACTATATATAAGCAATGAACAATTTGAAAAAGAAATTAAGAAAACAGTTCTATTTATAATAGAAATTTAAAAGAATAAAATACTTAGGCAAAATTTAACCAAGGAAGTAAAAGACTTGTACATTGAAAATTATAAAACATTTCTGAAAGAAATGAAAGGATACTTAAATAAATGGACAAGCATCCCATGTTCATAGATTGGAACATTAATGTTACTAAAATGGCAATACTCCTTAAAAAATCCACAGATACAATACAATCTCTATCAAAATTCCAAAGGCTCTTTTGCAGAAATGGGAAAGGTTATCCTCGAATTCATAGAATTGCAAAGGGCCCTGAATAGCCAAAACAATACTGAAAAAGAAAAACATAGCTGGAGGGCTCATACTTTCTAATTTTAAAACTTACCACAAAACTACAGTAATAAAACTGTGGTGTTGTTATAAGGATAGATATATAGACAAATAGAATAGAATTGAATGTCCAGAAGCAAACCCTAACATATATGGCCAATTGAATTTCAACAAGGGTATCAAGACCATTCAACTAGGAAAGAATGTCTTTTCAAGAAATCAGGCGGGGTAACTGGATAACCACATGCACTTGATCTTAACCAAAGTCTGAGAAGTGATGGATAACCACATGCAAAAGAATGAAGTAGGTCTATTCCCTTACTCTCTATAGAAAATTAAGTACAAATGCGTCAAAAACCTAAATCTAAGGACCAAAACTATAAAACTATTTGAAGAAAAGGGCAAATCTTTATGACCTCAGATTTGGTGATGGATTCTTAGATTTGATGCCTCTCCTCAAAAATCAATAAAAATACAGATAAATTGACTTTATACAAATTAAAAACTTCTGTGAATCAAAGGACATTATCAAACAAATGAAGACAAACTACTAAAGAAGAGAAAATATTTGAAAATCACGTATTCGATGAGAGATTAACGTCCAGAATACATAAAGAACTCTTAAACTCAACAATAAAAAAGACAAACAAGTCAAATAAAAAAATAAGCAGAGGATACAAATAGACATTTTTCCAAATCTACAAATGGCCAACTAGTTGTTGAACAAACAAATTTCAACTGAGTGAATTTAAGGACCAAATTGACTTTATTCAATGATTCATGAATCAGGCAGCATATAGAAAGGAATTCCAACAGGCTACAGAAAGAGAAAGGTTTTTAAAGATAGAACAAGGAAGTCATAAACAACAAGAAAGACTTATTTCAGACAAATTCACCTCCTTTTGGAGGACAGAAAGATCTTACTAGGTGGATTCCAGCACCGACCAGGAAATTCCAGACTAACCAGTTAAGATTACATTCCTGGGAAGAACTGAAACTACAATTAAGTTAGGTATTAAGCCCTGGTTTAATGTTGTGGGCCTAGTACAGGTGACTCTATTTTGGCCCTGTGGTTTTCTTTTTAACAAAGCATACTAAAACATGTTCAACAGCATCGTTCATTAATGAAATGCAAAAAAAAAAAATCATGAGATGCCACTTCACACTTACTAAGATGGCAATTTTAAAAAGAAAAAGAAAATAACAAAGCATGGGAGAGGATACAGAGAAATAGGAATCTTGCATCACTGATGATAATGTAAAATGGTAGCTACTGTGGAAAACAACTGGCTTTCCTCAAGAAGTTAAACATAGATTTAACAAATGACTCCCAACATATATACAGATATACATATCTATACATATTGAAAAGAACTGAAAACAAGGACTCAACTCAAACAAATGCTTATTCACAAATATTCATAGCAGCATTATTCACAATAGGTGAAAGGTGGAAATAATCCAAATGTTCACCAACCGATAAATGTGTAAACAAATTGTGATATATACATTCAATTGAACATGATTAGCCATAAAAAGGAATGAAGTACTGATACAAGCTACAACTTCAATGAACCGTGAAACCATGCTAAGTGAAAGAAGCGAAACACAAAAGGTCATATTTTATGATTCCTTTTTATGAAATATGCAGAATAGGCGAATCCATAAAGAAAAGAAGCAGATCAGAGTTTGCAAGAAGTTAAGGGTAGGAGGAAATGGGGAGTGTTTATTAGATATGCACAGGGGTTCTTTTCAAGCAACGAAAAAAATTTTAAACTACAAACAGGTGTTAATTATACAATACTGTAACTACACAAAATGTACTGCTTTGTACACTTCAAAATGGCTAATGTGTGAATTTCACTTCAATAAAAAGAACAAAAAGGAACAAAAATAAAATAAAATAAAAACCTTTCCAAATAGTAGGATTGTAATGATCTGAAATTTGGGCCAGTTAGAAATGCTAGGCCTCCAAGAACAGTCCAAAATAGAGTTGCAATCTATTTGGAGTTGCACCCTATTTTTTGAAGTAAATGCTATGCATGTACGGATGGATGGATGGATGGATGGATGGATGTGTATATCCAGGAATAATAAAATTCTCTGCAAAGATATTATAGTTTTTCCCAGCCATTTTCAATTTCACACCTAAAATGCCTTCTCATTTTAACTATCATCTACCTACTTTCCTCCAACAAAAAAGTCATGGAATATAGTTTTTCAAAGTATACAATATCCCTCCACTCTGCTAAGAATCACTACTACAAGTAGAAAACTACCATTATGCCATTAAAATATGATTTGATCTTTTTAATTTAGCTCATGCTTTTTCTACATAAATGTGCTGCATAAAATAGAAATTCCTCATATAAATAAAAACCTATGCCACAGAGAATTGCTAATTCCTCTGATCAAAAAAAGACTAGTTATCTAAATATAGATCTTATAATATAAATCAATATTTCAGTAATATAAACATAAGGATTTCATTTTTTATGCTATAAACTAGGAAATTACTATAATATCAAATCAGGTGCTTTTCTTTCTTTGCTACAAAGTTTCCGGTTCTCTCCCACAACTGCCCAGGTTTTACCTTTGTTTTTGTTAGCATCTGAATAAGAAAATCCTGGTGCTTGTCCTGTTTTTCATCCAAAAAGGCCCCAGAGATTTGGACCAATCTTGTGTTTTCCACCTTTTTCCACTGTGTGGCACTGAGCACATTTTTGAATAAAGATCTTCTTGCCTGCTTCAGCATCTCCCATTTTGTTCTGCAACAAAACATTAAACCACAGTCCAAAAAAAATCTCAGATTTGCAAAGCTGGAAAAAAAAAATGCCAACATTTTGAAATGAATACTAATGATATTAAACAAAAACGTATTTAAAGTATGCATCCTTTTAAAGCCTGAGTGCTCAAAAACACAAGCAGATTATAGCATCCAATTTTATAAAGACTTAATCATCTCATTTATCAGATTTATTTTAAAATTTTGATTTATAGATACTTCAGAAACTTATGGTATAAGCCTGGTTTTACTTCAGCCTTCAAACAACTATACTAATTCATCTAGGTCAATTATATTCCACTTTTTTCTTTCCACTTACAGAAAGCACATGTGCAAAAAACAATGCAAGGTTTCTAAGTCTAATTTGGCATCCCCTTGTTTAATAATAAGAATAGAGCAAAATGCAAAAGGCACTTAAATTTGATGTTTTTGTAAGTACTCATATGCCTGCAATAATAGCCTGTAAAATTAAATATCAAACAAAAGAATGAGGCCACAGCAGGTTATACGTAACACGTAATTTCTCATTTACTTTATACTCTCAGCTATAAACACATCTAGCAGTTAGATTAAGCAGTATCTCAAAGCAATTGAATACCATTATTGAGTTCAGTCAGCAGTAGTACGTGTTTAACACTAATGTAGTGGAAAATACAGTTCTAAGCAGGGAAGATTTTATGGTACAGTGATATATAAAATAAAATTTGTACAAAGATATTTTAGTTAATACTACCAAAAATTTTGTTGCATAACTAAGTAAGTGTCTCCTTCATCTAAAATTATGTAAAAACTAAAATAATTTCAACGTTTTTAAAAAATGTAGTTTGAAATGCCAACAAATATAGTACCTAAGTTTTGTTTACCTGCTCTTTTTGTTTTTTTTTTTTTAAGATTTTATTTATTTATTTGTAAGAGAGAGAGACAGACAGAGAGAGCGTGTGCAAGAGCAGGGGGAGTGACGGGCAGAGGCAGAAGGAGAAGCAAGCTCCCTACCAAGCAAGGAGTGCAATGCAGGACTCAATCCCACCAAAGAAGGCAGAGACTTAACTGACTGAGCCGCCCAGGCGTCCCCTGCTTCCCCCCGCCCCCGCTCTTTTTATTTGAAAAATTAGATCATGGGCAGTAGGTGTTGGGATGGATTTCAATATGAGATTGTATTACTATTAGAGAAATCATGAAAATAACCTAATTCCCTGACAGTACAGTTTGAAGCACATTTTCGCCTTTATAACTCTACTGAGAAATAAAAAATGTTTGGTTTATTCTGGTAATAATATTGAAAAATACAATGTGTCTTAACTGAAGTTAGCTATTACTCAGAGAGGTCAGTACTTCCTATACAGTAACCTGCAAAATTAGTATCTCTCTAATTTCTTCTCTTTTTAAAAAGATTTTATTTATTTTTTTAATTGAGAGAGTGAGCACACAAGCATGAGCCACGGGAAAAGGGATAGAGAAAGGGAGAAGCAAGCTCCCCACTGAGCAGGGAGCCCAAAGTGGGGCTCAATCCCAGGCCCATGGGATCATGACCTGAGCTGAAGGCAGACACACCTGACTGAACTACTGAGGGGCTCTGGTATCTCCCTAATTTCTTTAAATTTATGTGGAAACCCAAAATAGTGTCAATAATCCACTTAAAGGGAAGACAGAAATTTTCTGTGGGCAGACTAACAACTAATCTATTAATCAGTGTTTTAGGTCTGATAAAAAGCAGAGTAAAAAAACTCATTTATCCAGAAGAAGCTTACTTTTAAATTCCAAACTTCACTCAAAACACTGCATTCAATTTCTACTTAAATGAATTCTATCAGTTCACGTATAGCTACAGAATTCACTGAACCTTTGAACAGGGGCCATTAAGAAACTTTAGTCACAAATACAAATTTTTGGACTTTAGCAAAATGCATTCACAATAATCATAAAGTCCATACCATACAAATAGAAAATGTCATCTAAGTACTGCTAAAGAATCATTTCCAATTTTTATATAAAGCAAAAAAATCAGATTGATTCTTATACCTATTAAATGTTACGGATAATTCAAGAAACCAGACATTTGTTTAAAAGAAAAAAATCCTCTTTCCTCAAATAGATTTCACATACAATTCTCTTATTAGAAAATGTCCATTGTCATTGTTCAAACTACCAATATTTACCATGTGAAGACACTGACCGCTGCCATCTTTAATCACAGTTATGTAAGTACATATGACCATCTGCAAAGTGCACTAAAACCAGTAAATTCAGCAGTGATAGCAAGGGAGGGGGGCAGGAAGACTAGGAAGGATAGCAAGCAAGTCAATTTTATCCTATAATCATCTGGCACTCTAATAATATTTCATTATTAAGAAGAAATATAAACCTCTTCAACCTTAGCCACAACAACTTCTAGCTAGACCTGTCTCCAAAGGAAAGTGAAACAAAGGCAAAAGGAACTATTGGGACTTCAACAGATAAAAAGCTTTTGCACAGCAAAGGACAGTCAACAAAACCAAAAGACAAGCTACAGAATGGGGAGAAGATATTTGCAAATAACATATCAGATAAAGGGCTAGTATCCAAAATCCATAAAGAACTTATCAAACTCAACACCCAAAGAACAAATAATCCAATCAAGAAATGGTCAGAAGACATGAACAGACCTTTCTCCAAAGAAGACATATGAACAGACATATGGAAAAATGTTCAACATCACTTGGCATCAGGGAAATATAAATCAAAACCACAATGAGACACCACTTCACGCCAATCAGAATGGGTAAAATTAATAAGTCAGGAAGCAACAAATGTTGGTGAGGTTACAGACAAAGGGGAACCCTCTTACACTGCTGGTGGGAATGCAAGTTGGTGCAGCCACTCTGGAAAATAGTATGGAGATTCCTCATAAAGTTAAAAGTAGAGCTACCCTACAACCCAGAAAGTACACTACAGAGTATTACCCCAAAGATACAAATGATCTGAAGGGGCACATGCACCCCAATGTTTATAGCAGCAATGTCCACAATAGCCAAACTATCCAGATGTCCGTCGATAGATGAATGGATAAAGAAAATGTGAGATAGATATAGCTATAGATACAGATAGATATATAGAGGTATATAATGGAATACTACTCAGCCATCAAAAAATAAAATCTTGCCATTTGCAATGACATGGATGGAACCAGAGGCTATTATGCTGAGTGAAATAAGTCAGAGGAAGACAATTATCATACAATCTCACTGATACTGGAATTTAAGAAACAAAACAGAAGCTCATAGGGGAAGAGAGGAAAAAAATAACAAGATGAAGCCAGAGAAGGTAACAAACCATAAGGGACTCTTTTTTTTTTTTTTTAAGATTTTATTTATTTATTTGACAGACAGAGATCACAAGTAGGCAGAGAGGCAGGCAGAGAGAGAAAGAGAGAGCCGCTGAGCAGAGAGCCCAATGTAGAGCTCGATCCCAGGACCCTGGGATCATGACCTGAGCCAAAGGTAGAGGCTTTAACCCACTGAGCCACCCAGGTGCCCCGCCATAAGGGACTCCTAATCATAGGAAACAAATGAGGGTTGCTGGAGGAGGGTGGTGGAGGGATGGGGTAACTGGGTGATAGACATTAAGGAGGGCATATGATGCAATGAGCACTGGGTAGTATGTAAGACTGATGAATCACAGGCTGTACCTCTGGGAAAAAAAATTAATGGCAGAATAAAAAGATGAGAATAGTACATAATAAAGATATTATTTCATGAAAAATAGAAATATAATGTTGTATACCTAAAATTTGTATAATGTTACATGCTAATTTTATTTCAATAAATAAAAATTTTCTTAAAAAAGATTTTTGCCTATTTCTCACTGAAATAGGCAAAGATATGACACCTGGTATGAGAATGATCACTCTTCCAAGAATGAAGTAATTCTAATGATAAATAGGAGAAGAGTATGGAACACTTACGCATGCTTCTGTGGGCCAGACATAGCTAAGCGCTTTATATATTATTAATGCATTTATTCCTCAGACCAGCCATGTGAGATAGATACCGTTAATATCTCTGTTTTTACAGCTGAGGAAAATGAGGCACACAAGTTAAGCTGCTTAAAGTCACAAGCTGGTGAGAAATGGAGAGAGATGGTGAAAAGTAAGAGGAAGAACAATTTTCAATCTCTTTTAATTTTAACAATTCCCTTTTAGGAACAAACTAAGTAACTTGGGTTGAACAGAATGTTTGACACACTGCAGATGCTTAAAGAGAAGTAAGTAAAATGCTCTTCAGTGTTGGTACGTACCACTGCCAGCTCCAATTTTGCCCGTAAAAAAGAGGGGTGTGGTAAGAACAATCAAGGCACCAATAAAGCTTTCAAGATTTACAAAACTCACATAACTGGAAGCAATAAAAGTGGGAGGAAGAACTCACTGGAATAACTGGAGGATGAATACTACACAGACTAAAAGATAAAGTAGGATTCTGCTGTTGCAGCGGAAGAAGTACGGAAGTGGAATGCATCAGAACGATGTGACCGTGGGTAAACGTCTATGAACCCCCCCCAACCCCCCCCCCCCAAACACAGATGTCCACGGCCTTTCCCTCTTCGAATCTGCTGTGCCTGAATCTCTAAACTGGAGTAAGAATCCAGCTTTCCAAACTGCCAGTCTCACAGTCCTTCATGCCACCACTCCCACTTGGCTGATTTCTGCCAACCGTGGGCGGAAGGCTCTGCCCCGAATCAGTTCCACACAGAAATCATAAAAGCTGCAGGCAGGCCCCTCACCAGAAATAGTTTTATGCCGCACTTAGGGACACGTAGACCCCAGCAGGCTAGGGCTAAAAGGAGCCTATTAGATACTTCTTTCTGAGTAAAGCCCAGCCCAAATTGCTCTGGCCCATAATCAGTGCTTAGATCACATGGTTGCCAGGCCCACTACTTCCCAGCCAATCCCATACCTACCAGAGGGTCAGCGGCTCTGCCCACCACCTCCCCAGAGAACCCTTAAGAAGTCACCCGGGCCTCTGCCAGGCCAGGGACTGAGCTGCAAGTTTGGGGTTGGCGATCCCAGAGCAATGCCTCAAACACCTGCACTGGAAGCCCAGCCCAGCATGTGCTTCCGGTGGACGCCAGCCAATAGCAGGCCAGGCTCCATCCGCACTGCTGATTGGCTCCCAGATCCTGCAAGTTGGCAATTCTCGCAGGAGCTTGAAGACGGACTTGCTGGGCAGTTGCAGGCTGAATGGAAACGTGACTAAGTGAATGTCCTTTGAACACAGCAGCCCCAGGAGCATCTTTTATTTGTTTAGCTTTTGCCTAACCAAAGAGCTAAATTATCTATGCATATTGACCGCGTGTCCCATTTCTTGCTTGAAGCAGGAACTCAACGTTTTATGAATGGTCCATTAGCATGTGTTTTTAGGAATCATATCGTGTCAACAAAAGAATAAAACAAATAGGATGGGCAAGGCACTGTGCCAAGCAACTTGGACAAACACTGAACTTCAGCTCCAATTTTCTGAGTTACAATTCAGTTGGGACAAGATTTAAATACATTGGGGCGCCTGGGTAGCTCAGTGGGTTAGGCCTCTGCCTTCAGCTCAGGTCATGATCCCAGGGTCCTGGGATCCAGCCCCCAGTCAGGCTCTCTGCTTAGCAGGGAGCCTGCTTCCCCCCCTCTCTCTACCTGTCTCTCTGCCTACTTGTGATCTCTCTCTGTCAAATAAATAAATAAAATCTTAAAAAAAAAAAAAAAGTTAAATCATTATGGGGTGCCTGGGTGGCTCAGGTCATGATCCCACGGTCCCGGGATAGAGCTCTGCATCGGCTCCCTGCTCAGTGGGAAGCCTGCTTCTCCCTCTCATACTTCCCCTGCTTGTGTTTCCTCTCTCACTGTGTCTCTCTCTGTCAAATAAATACATAAAATCTTTTTTAAAAAATTAAATCATTATAAATGAGCTACATTAGAAAAAAATACAATAATATAAGAACTGACAGCAAGGTTGCAAGCTGCTTGTTAATTGCCAAAAAAAAAAAAAAAAAAAAAAGCCCAATGAAGTATGACTAGAAACAAAGAGAATTAGAACTGAAGGAGCAAGAAGGGAGATGTGGAGGGAAGGACTGAAAAAGCTACAAGAAGATGAGAGTTTTAAAGACAGACAGGTCAAACTTAAATTTGTATTTAGGAAACCATGAGAAAGGAAATTTGCTTACCTGTGGTTACATAATAACTTCAGTGAGACGTATGTGGTAAGGAGACAGAGAAATTGGAATATTAAAAAAAAATTTTAATTGCTCAACAAAGTACTTGTAATAGTGACAAAATTTTGTGTGTTAGGTAAGTGGGAAGTTTACCACAGTCAAGTTCTCCAGAGGTCTGTCCCATATACTTTTATGATTGAAATGATTGAATTGTTCTGCGTGGGCACTGTCTACTAGACAAAAGTAACTTTGAGTACTTGAAGTGTAGCTAATACAACTGAGTAACAGAAATTTTTATTATTTTATAGTTAATTTTAATTAATTTTTATTTTAATTTAAATAGCCACGATTGCGAGATGATTGAATGAAGCTATTCTAAGAGATACCTATGAAACTGTTCTATGATCAACATATTTAAAAGATATATATCGGGGCACCTGGGTGGCTCAGTGGGTTAAAGCCTCTGCCTTCAGCTCAGGTCATGATCCAAGGGTCCTGGGATGGAGCCCCAAGTCCGTGCTCTCTGCTCAGTGGGGAGCCTGCTCCCTCCTCTCTCTCTGCCTACCTGTGATCTCTCTCTGTCAAATAAATAAATAAAATCTTAAAAAAAAAAGTAAAAAGAAAAAGACCAGGTTTTGGGGGGGAGCAAGAATCAGGTGTTAAATACTATTCTCAAACTCAAACAAAAACATGTAAACTCAAGAAAAGGAAGGAGACTACCATTTCTCTAGTGCCTACCACATGCCAGTGTAGTGTAGTGTAGTGTAGGTGCATTGAATACATTCACAGTAGCTCGTAGCCTTACAGCTGAGAAAAATGGACATTCTGGACCTTATTCATACACAACAACCTAAAATTACTAATTGATTACCGGTAAATATCAGTGGTAAAGCCTATTTAAAAATTTCAAATAAGGAAAAACATTTTTACTGAAATATATGAAGACTAATATTGATAGCCAGTAAATATCATTGTAATTATATCATAGTTAAAGAAATTTTGGAAAACAATGACAAAAATTTATTATTTTCTCTTTGCATTTCAAAAATAAGTTACAATATCATCTCTTCTTTAAAAAAAGAAATTTATAAGAATTTTGGAAGAAAAGCATCAAGGGAAAACTGGATTTCATGTGAAATCAACAAAAGTGCTTATCATTTAAACAATTGTGCATTATAGGCTACATGTTGTAAAGCCTTGAAAAAATTTAATCTGCAAATGCACAGCACATCTTTTCTCTAGTATAACACCGATTTATAATCATTGTTTCAAACCTCAGAATTTTCAGCTGTTTTAGCTACATGTAATTCATGTTCAAATGTGATTTTATATGATTTGACACATGGCAAAACTGTCATTATTGAGTGATTAAAAGTGTTCTACAACTGATTGTGGTGATAGTTGCACAATGCTGTGAACATATTAAAAGCCATTTAACTGAACATAAATAGATGAATTGTATGAAATATGAATTGTGTCTCAAGGAAGCTGTTTAAAATAACTAGACGGAGAAGTCATAAAGTCATTAGAGAAAGCAAATTTCTTATTTTCCTTGCATATGTGGTATTTCACATGACTGAGTTATAAAGAAATTTTGCTTTCCCAGCATTTCCCAATATTTCTGTCCTGATTTGGTTTCATGCAATCTTTTCTCTCTTCTTGAAGAAAAGAAATTAACTGCTCTAAACATCAGCCTCAAATTTTCAGGCTATCAATCAGTAATTTTGTTTGACAAAGAATAAAAGTTGCCCAGTCTCTACAGTGCAAGAAAATTATACATTTTCCACTAGATGGCACTGGCGTGCAAATAGTGTTGTTATAAGCTTCAGATTCTCACAGCAATAAAATTATTAACACTGCCACATTGTTTTTTTTTTTTTTTTTCACTTTGATTGGTTTGGTGTAACATAAAGAAAAGTGGAAAATTAAAACAAGATACTTCTTTAACTTGCTAAGATCCAGGGTAAACAGAGTCCTTACTTTACAGATACAGGATGTAATGCAAGGAAAAATTATCACAATCTTTTGTGCTAAAGCCAGAGTGAGAACCCACAATTCCTGACTCTTAGTTGCTATTATACAAGTATACAATATAAAAAGCGGGATAGTGGATACCCTGGTCAAAGGGAACAAGAAAATTCATCTCCATCGTGCCATTGTACACATATTAGCTCATCTGATCCTTAAGCTATGAGCTCCATATATATTATTTCATAAAATCCTAGGTATATAAACCCAATCTATTAACTTCATAAGAGAAAGAGAAGGATCATTTTGTTTAATACCATATCACTTGAGTAAAGCACAGTGCCCAACACACAGTAGACAGAAACATTCGGTCCTTAAATAAATGGATGAATTAACTGAGCTTAATAACTACCCCATTTAGTAGGCAATATTATTTCTCCTTGCAGCTGAGGAAACTGAAGTTGGAAATACGAAATACGAAGTAACTTGTCTAAACTCACACAGTTCAGTGGCAAAACCATTTAACACAATCCGACATTATTTTGCACTATATATTTACATGTAATTTTTCCACAATAGAAGAAAGCTCTAGGAGGACAGGAAACATGTTTTTTCTTTTCCTTATGGTGTATCTAGCTCCTTAGACAGAGCTGGCACACAATTGGCACACAATAAATAGTACTTACATGTTTAAGCTCAAAGCAACCCTAATCTTAGCAACCTGGACTTGAGCATTCAAAGAGTTCTGCTCCTGGACCACATTCAGTTTCATACTTTTCATTTTATTCCAACTCCACTACAAAATCCAGATCTTGTTTCTGGATTTCTGCTAGGTTTCCCACTGACCTGTTCTCAAGTCCCTTTAACAAGAAGCCTTAGAAGTCAGTAAGCATTCCCACTTTGCTTCTCCTTGAGATTTCTCCTAGTCCCTATAGCTGAGCAGTCCACCCTTTCAGCCCTCAAATCCCCAGGGGTGCTTGTGGAAGTTGAGCACATCAGCAGACGGACCTGGTTCTGGTTTTGGCTCTGTTATTTGTATCCCTACTGTCTTTGGCTATTCCAGAGGCCTCGACTTCCTCATCTCAATTTTCTCAACAAATGAGGCTCGAATTGGATGATCTCAAATAAGACTATAGGGTTTTTAACTTTACCCTATAGTTGTCTTCTACTCAGCCCATAAGCAAGATGGCAAGTTTTGGGGGGAGAATGCTTGGGCTCTAGGGGTGGGAATAAAGCCAGCGCTGGGAAAGCCTGTGCACCAGACAGGGCTGTTCTGGCCACAAGCAATGCGGATGGCACCCTTGACATGTGAGCCTCCTTTCCGCGAGATTGGGCTCCCGGACCAGGTCGGCCTCCCCACCACCCCGCATCGCTAGGGGGCGCTGCAGGCCGCTCCCCGGAAGCTGGTACCAGACGCTGGTCCGCCGCCCGACTCTGGCGTCTTCCGGAAGCGGAGCGCCGGACCCGCAACGGCTGGCTGTACGGGAGCGGCGGTGGCGGGCCAGGTGGCAGCGAGGAGACCTTAAGGGGACCCGGACGTGGCTCCCGCGCCGGGGCGGAGCGCCATGGACGAAGCAGGCAGCTGTGCGAGCGGCGGAGGCTTCCGCCCGGGCGTGGACAGCCTGGACGAGCCGCCCAACAGCCGCATCTTCCTGGTGATCAGCAAGTACACGCCGGAGTCGGTGCTGAGGGAGCGCTTCTCGCCCTTCGGCGAGATCCAGGACATCTGGGTGGTGCGGGACAAGCACACTAAGGAGTCCAAGGGCATCGCCTTCGTCAAGTTTGCCCGTAGCTCGCAGGCCTGCAGGGCCATGGAGGAAATGCACGGCCAGTGCCTCAGCCCCAACGACACCAAGCCCATCAAGGTGCTGGTGCCCGGGTTGTGGTCCTCGCGCTAGTGGATAGGGGTGGGGCCTCCCGCGCCTGAAGCTGTGTCAGCGTGGGGTCGAAGTAATGCATCCGCTCCCTGGGGCGGCCTGGGCAGCACCTGACCTTCCCGGGGCGGGAGGATGGCGTTCGCGACAGGGGTGCGGGGTTTGGGCGGTGCGGGGGTTTGGGTGGTGCGGGAAGAACGACCGTCCGGACTTGTGACTGGATCTGCCCCCACTCGCGCTGTCACTACTCCGGAGCCCTGGACTCCACCGCCCACTCCTGAAGCTCCAGTCTTATAACCCCGTTTCCATAAACACGGGTGTTTTTGTTTTTAATTTTTTTATTTTTTTTGCTTTTCTTCAGTTTATTACTGAGCTTAACCACTTGATAAAAGTGTGTTAAACTGTGGCCTCTCTGGTGTTGGGCGTTTGCCCAGTACCGGACGAAAGGGTACATGTAAATAGTGTTTGAAGGTGACTATAACTGCTGCTATTGCGTGTTTGTCACACTGTTGTGTTTTTTAAGATCTTAACTAAGCCCTCTTTGTGAAAGTAGTAATACCTTTCGTTTTGTTATTGCCACTTTTCTTTGAAAGCAACCAAAGTAACCTGCCTTAAGCAGGGCCAAATCATCGTGATGGTAGTATGGTTGTATTGTTACTAAATGCTTCTTAGTTCACCCTGGAGGCATTTATATTGTTTCAGCACTTAAACTTGTGTAAAATTAAGATGACTGGCAAGTGGCAGAAAGGGTGATTTTTGAGAGTTACTTGACTTAATCTATGCTTTTAGCACAGTGCTTGGCAAAAGATAGGCCCTCAGTATATCCTTATGGTCAGTAGTAGCCACAGTATCATTCCTTACTGGCTGTGAACTCAGTTCCGGACCGGATCCTGAGGCTCTGACAGTTACTTTAATAGTATCCTCACCTGTCCTGTAATTCTGTTGGAGACTTCCACAAAATTCCCTTCTCCCTTGACGTTTTTTTCCTTTTCTTCCTCCCATTTACTACAGAAGACTGGTAAGAATATTATTAATATTGACTTACACAAGTGAAATACTGAGAGATACATCAGTCTCCGGAGGTCTTGCCTATCCCTCCATCCACAAAAGAGTGTATCAGCATTACAGTAGACCATAGACATTCCCTTTATTTCCACTTCCCCAACTCTCTGAAATGGAGTAGAATAGGTCATTAATAAAATTTATTGTAAGTCCACAGCATATGGTAGATCAGGGGTTGACAAACTTTTTATGTAAGAGGACAGATAGTAAGTATTTTAGGCGTTGTGAGCCACATACAGTCTCTGTGACCTATTTGTTGTTTGTTTGTTTGTTTTCTAAAGATTTTATTTATTTATTTGACAGACAGAGATCACAAGTAGGCAGAGAGAGGGGGAAGCAGGCTCCCCGCTGAGCGGAGAGCCTGATGTGGGGCTCGATCCCAGAACCCTGGGATCATGACCTGAGCCGAAGGCAGAGGCTTTAACCCACTGAGCCACCCAGGCACCCCAACCTATTCGTTGTTTTTAACAGCCCTTTAAAAATGTAAAAACGGGCGCCTGGGTGGCTCAGTTGTTGGGCGTCTGCCTTTGCCTCAGTTCATGATCACAGGGTCCTGGATCGAGCCCTGCATCGAGCCCCACATCACATTGGGCTCCCTGCTCAGCAGGAGACCTGCTACTCTTTCTGCAACTCCCCCTGCTTGTGTTCCTTCTCTCGCTGTCTCTCTCAGTCAAATAAGTAAATAAAATCTTTTAAAAATAGATAAATAAAATAAATAAATAAAATGTAAAAACAATTTTTAGATCATGGGCTATAGAGAAACAGGAGGCTATGGTTTGCTGACTCCTGTCCTAGATTGATAATTTGTATCTCCTTCTAATTAAATTAGCCAGAGAGGGTTTTTGTATTTTGAGTATAACCGCAGACGTCTGTGGACAACCCAAAAAAATGCCCCAAATCCTAAACCTACATAATTCCCTTTTCTTGATTAAATTCCTGCAAGAGAAGTGAAAGTCCCAGCCCTGAAATGTACCCTCCCTTTTAGCCACAGAGAAGTTATTCCCCAAAATAACTGAAGTTTAAGTTGTTTTTTCACATTTTGGTCCACTCAGAAGCCAGAAGTTTGTTGCAGTGCAGGACCGAGCTAGGCAGTCTAAGTTCATTTTCAGTGGGTTCAGCTTGGGTCTGTCTTCCACTGGATTGTAGTTTTTTACTTGTGTTTGTTTTTGTTTCTTTTGTACTTCCAGTTAAATTAATTCAGCTTCAACTTCTCTCGTGTAGTTTGCTTTTGCAAAGTTCCAAAGGATCTGTAAGACACATAAGAAAATTATAGCCCTAGGCCTACAGCCAGAAGACTGGCTAAGTAAGAATTATTCTGCGACCAACAACATTATCTTCAGCTCTGCAAGAATGCCTCTTATTTAGAGCTTGTAGTGTGAACATGAAGTCTCAGGAGAAATCTCCATTCAGTGGTTAATTATACATGTGTTCTTCTCAGACACTGCCTGCCTTATTGGAAATTTGAAACACTCCAGTCTTCTAAAATTTAGAAGTTTGTGACTGATGACACCTCTGGTCTCAAATCTTACTTGAGACTCTTTCTTTTCCTTGTTTCTTATATTCTTAAAGGTTTCCTATTTCATTTTTCTATTGATCATTCATTAGTGATATATCCCCTAGACTGACTTTCTAGTGGGTCATTTTTGTATTGCTTAGTACTGTATTACTAATACCTCATACACTGCTCGGCATATAGCATAAGTTTATTGAGGGAGTAACAGTAGACTCTTATTTAGGAATATATCTCCAGCTATATCTTGTAAAAAAGGTGCTACACCTCTATGACAGCTGTTTTCTAAGCAAATATACAATATTCTGTTTCAGTACTTTTGAAATCTCATGACTTTTATAAGTTCTCAGTCCTCTGGGTTGCTGCCTCCTCTGGAATTCCATTTCAATGGTATACAGCCCCCACTCCCCCTTTAAAGTAGAAGAAGAAAAAAGAAACCTTAAGGGCTTCGTGTGGTGATTTATGTTAATTTTATTACATGTCTTCAAGTAATAAAAAACAAAACTAGTCATTAAAATTGTTATCCTTATAGCTCTATAAATAAATCCACAATCCTAATTAGAGATTTTAACATTCCTTTAGGATAATATAAAACTGTAACAATTTTATAAAGTAATAAGTAATAATCTCATATCATAATCCAAGTAATAATAATCTGAGTAATCTAATGTCACAGATGATGTTTCAGTAAAAGTAAATTGCTAATAGTAGAAAATGGAGCCTCAGGTAGTCTGGTGCATTTTCTTGCTCACATAAATCACTTGATCACTGAGATTATCCAGAATATGATTATACTACCTTTTTTAAAGGTTCATATTAAAAAGAAAACAATTAAAAATAATTACATTCTAGACTTAAACCCAATTATATCAATAATTACATTAAACATAAGTAGACTAAACATGCCAATTAAAGGCAGAGATTATCAGGATTTATTTAAAAAAAGAAAGACCAAACTAAGTACTGTTTAAAAGAGGCATGTAAAGTATAAAGATACAAAGTGGTTGAAAGTGAAAGGATAGAAAAAGCTTGTGTGATGTCATACAAAATGGTGTTCAACACAAGAAGTATTAACAGAGATAGGGCAATTTCATGGGAATAAAAATGACAGTCAGAAGTACATAATGATCCCACATGTTTATGAAGCCAATAATACAGCTTCAAAATACAAGAAGCATTATTGTATAGAACTAAGAGGAGAAAGAAAAATTTGCAATCAGGTTTTTATACTCCTCTCTTAGTATCTGATGGAACAACTAGACAAAATCAGTAAAGATGTGATACTTAACACTTTAATCACTGTAGTTGGCATTTATATAGTATTGGACACTATACTCAGCTATTGCAGAGTACACATTCTTTTTCAGTGCACTGACTTGCTCTTGGTAAACCAAAGTGCAAAAGTAAAATACATTTGGAAAAAACAATGCAGACATTGGTATTATCTCATATTAAAAAAAAAAAAAACCATTGCAGTAAAGATAATTTTTTTTAAAGATTTATTTATTTATTTATTTGACAGACACATCACAAGTAGGCAGAGAGGCAGGCAGAGAGAGAGGAGGAACAGGCTCCCCGCTGAGCAGAGAGCCCCATGCGGGACTCAATCCCAGAACCCTGAGATCATGACCCGAGCCGAAGGCAGAGGCTTTAACCACTGAGCCACCCAGGTGCCCCATAAAGATTACTTTAAAAAAACTTTTGACAAAATCCTATTACATTGTGTTTATCCTAACATGAATCTCATAATAATAATGAAGTAAGTGTACCTAAGAAATAGGAAAACAGTTAACTATTATTTTTGGGATTTTGTTTCTTAGGTTTTCATTGCTCAGTCCAGATCATCTGGAAGTCATCGTGATGTTGAAGATGAAGAACTCACAAGAATATTTGTTATGATACCAAAGTCCTACACAGAAGAAGATCTACGGGAAAAATTTAAGGTACTTATGTTTTCTAATCAACTAGCATCTGTGGTAACTTAGAATCCTAAATTGTTTCTATGGTTACTAAATCTGAAGTGTTGTTTGTGTTAGGTCATAAGATTGATGCTAGAGAATTAAATAACTGTTTTTAAGTCATCTATTTCCATCTAGTTTTAAAATATTAAACCTAGAATAAACTAAAAAAAAAAATAATAAATAAAAAGGTGGAAAATATAAATGATGGTGTTTTCTCCCCCTTTAAGGAAAACACAGATTCAGGAAAATAAAGTATAAAGCCTGGAGTTTTAAATTAGGTCACATACCCAATAGGTGGTGGACAAAGATTTAAACCCAGGCTGTCTGAATCTGGAAGCTGCTCTTGGTCTTTACACTTTCAAAGTACCCTCTCACCACTCTGTTGCTCTCATGTAGAGGGGAGTCAAGTAAGCCTGAGTGTGTGAACCATATTATCTAGTATTTATTCTAAGCCTATGGCATGTTGATGTACTTACTCACAGAAGGGCTCATCCTTCATGGAATATTAGTCCTAAAATTAAGCCTTAGGAGGAGTTTTATTTATTTTATTTATTTTTAAAGATTTTATTTATTCATTTGAGAGAGAGAGAGAGAGGGAGAGAGGACACAAGCAGGGGGAGAGGCAGCAGGAGAGAGAGAAGCAGATCTCCGCTGAGCTGGGAACGCAGCATGGGGCTCAATCCCAGGACCTAGAGATCATGACCTGAGCTGCAGACTTTTAACCATCTGAGCCACCCAGACGCCCCTGAAGGAGTTCTATTTAAAAGGAAAAAAACTACAGCTCTGAACCATATAGCAAGATTATATTCAGTGAAATTTAAAGATAATTTTACATCTCTTTTTAGCCATTGACTTTTATATACATGATATACTTCCACAAAAATTATTAAAAATCAATTCTTAAATTATTTTGAGTTGTAATTTTTTATCCTTTTTCTACTAAGTTTCCCAATACTATGAATCAGGTAGGCAACAAGCAAGAAAGAAAAGAAACAAATAGTAAAAAGTAATTTCCAAACTTTCTCTGTCCTACCCCAAGAGTTGAAAAAATAACAGCTACCAAACGTATATATTCCAAACTTCCTCCAATAGTAAGAACTTTTTACCTTTTTCTGAGTGAACAAATATGACATTTTTATCCAAATGTATAATAATTAAGTTGTTAATTGGTTACATGAAAATTTTATAAAATAAATAATAAACACGAAGGGGGCGCCCGGGTGGCTCAGTTGGTTAAGCATCTGACTCTTGACTTTGGCTCAAGTCATGATCTCCAGTGTGTGAGATGGAGCCCTGCGTTAGGCTCCTCATTCAGCTCGGAGTCTGCTGGAGATTTTCTCTCGCCCTCTCTCTGCCCCTTCCCTGCTCACACACATGCAGTCTCTCTCTAAACAATAAATAAATAAAATCTTTTAAAAAATAAATAATAAACACTAAAAATTTATATCCCATATTTCTCCATAGAATTGACTTTATGAGCACACCAGTGTTTTAGTGATATACTTTGAGAAGCTCCTCTTTAAAGGAATACACAGTTACATCCTGTGAGAAGGCAAACAGCTGTAGCTAATGTTTAGTGTATCCCAGACACTTTAGGTCTATTAGTTCATTTAACTCTTAGCTAAAGGCAGACGCTTAACAACTGAGCTTCCCTGGTGCCCTTCATATAACTCTTAAAATAACCCTTTGGAGTAGGTACAACTTTTAGCCCGTTTAGCAGGTAAAGAGATAGGCACAGAGAGGATAACTAAACTGCTCAGTTAATAAGGCACTGAGCAGGGGCGCCTGGGTGGCTCAGTGGGTTAAAGCTTCTGCCTTCAGCTCAGGTCATGATCCCAGGATCCTGGGATCGAGCCCTGCTCCCCAGCAGGGAGCCTGCTTCCCCCTCCCTCTCTGCCTGCCTTTCTGCCTACTTGTGATCTCTGTCAAATAAATAAAAATCTTTAAAAAAAAAAAAAAAAGGGACTGAGCAAAAATTGGGATATAGAAGGTTCAATTCCAGTTTGTAATCACCACTGACCAAGACTTTGAAGCTTTCAAAACCATTTACACATTCTTACTCGCCCTCCATGACATAGGCAAATTATTTGATTTCTCAAAGACCTAGTTTCTTTGTCTGTGAAATAAATAGTATAATATATATAATATATATTAGTGTATACATAAATATTATATATGTGTATATCTATACATACATACATATTACACATATATCCTTGAGGGATTATTGTAGCAATAAGGTAATGTATATAAAGCAAATGCTCAGCAAATGAAAATGAAAATCATTATTTTGGTTATGTTATTATTCACTTATATTGTTAGTATGGTTCTTTTTCTAGTGCCTCATTAGTTTGTGACATTTTGATTCTATTATTAAAAATGGCTGTGAATTCTAATTCTGATTTCTAGTCTTGCAAATAAGGGGCACAAATAAACTTTAAGTTCTGAAATAATCTGTTCAGTTATTGATTTTGACTCCTCTAAGATCATTTCTTTTAACTCTCATAGGTGTATGGAGATATCGAGTATTGCAGCATTATTAAGAATAAAGTAACTGGAGAAAGTAAAGGTTTGGGCTATGTTCGATACTTAAAACCATCACAGGCTGCCCAAGCAATAGAAAACTGTGATCGAAGTAAGGATGTGTTCACTTAACATGTTAAAGACTTTTTAAAAACTTTTAATTATTCTAAATAACTGAATTTAACATGTGGTTTTACTAATAAGCATACTTGCTAATTTAATCCTAGCAATACGAATTTAAATATATGTATATACCTAGGATGAAAATTATTTTGGGATTGTGATTAAGCTTTCATTGAGGCACTATCTTGAAGAGAAATATGAGCAACTGCATTAACTTAGCAAGTGAAAATACTGTTGGCACATTTTGGTTATTATTTCTATAGTAATTAAAAATTTTTTAAAATCTTTAAAATTTTTAAAAATTGACTTACCCTTTCCAGCTTTTAAAAAAATTTTTTTTTCTTTATTTAAAAAAACCTCAAGTTTTCTGGTATATTTGTTCATATTTAAACTACACCTTAAATAGAATTAAGTATATGCTAATAAACATAAAGGTTAAGGATGGGACTTAGTATAAATTTTGCCTACATAGGTAACTAAATATATGTTAGGTTAATTTTGAGCTAGAGTGACATTAATTGGATTTTGTGCTGTTACTGCTATATATAATGAAGAATAAGAATTTTAAAGCAGCCAAGGAAAATATCCATTGTTGTCATACTCCTAGTTATAGTGACCTTTAGAAATAAGGATTAGTTAAATTAGTAGGTTTTAGGATATTATAAAGATCTATATATACTGGAAAGAATTACTGCTGATCAGTAGAATTCTTAAATAACCCTAAGGTACATATCAAAATTTCCTCTCAGATCCTTCTGTATTTCTCAACCAGCCAGCATTAATTGAGTACCCGTGGTATACTCAGCAATATGTTAAGTAAAAAGATACAAAGGGAATAAATATATAGCTTTTAAGGAACTTAATTATATTGGGTAGCCAAGCTCTAATAGGCAAAAAATAGTTAGAGAATAATAGAAGACTTTTTTAAAAGGCTCTTTGAAAGCAGGGAGTGTTTTATTTGTCTGTTTCTCTCATTCCTAGTACCTAGTACAGTTATAGACCCTCTGTAAAGATTTATTGAGATCTCTATCAAAGAAACTGCCATTTATAATAGACTCAATAGAAATTAGCCAAATGAGAAAATGTTCAAAAATGTGTGGTATGGTCCAGCAGTGGTGAGAAACAAGTGCATTGAGAACATGAGAACACCTCTAGAGGTAAGATTGACATCTAGTATAGAGTACAGGACAGAAGGTGAGAGCAGTGTTAACAAAGGCACAGAGCTGGGGGTAAGCATGTCTTTGCTTAATACTGTGAAGGCAAAAGTCTGAATAAGGCCTAATTAATCCTATTGAGAAATTAGGAGACAAAGTTAATTAAGTCCATTGGCACCACATATGGGAGGTTATGAAGAGTTCAACCTCAGGATTCCCTTGTAGACTGCTTTAAAAGGAGAAGAATAACTGTTTCAGGACAGTTGCTCTAACCACAGTATCAGGGATGGATTTTCAGAGAAAGAATTCAGAGTGACTTGGTTTTATCCTTTTTGGAGCTACTGAATAATTTGATGAAAGCTCTGAACCCTCTTTGAAATATGCCCATGTGCATATATACATAAGCGTATTGTTTAAAGTTTCAGAGAGTTCATGGAATCTTCCCACTTTTTGAAGCTCATCTTCAAACCCCTACTTAAAACCTTTGATCCAAAGGCAAAGAGACCAGTTAATGAGTTGTGTTGGAATTAATTGAAGGGAATCTGACTTAGAAACAAAGTCAGGGAAGTTAGAGTAAACGACAACATCTTGTAAGTGTATTTCAAAGGAAGAATCTTGCTGACAGGTTGAATGTGAAGAGCCCTATAGGATTTTGATATTGAGCCAGGAGAACAAACCAGGATGTTATTTGTAATAGGGAGGAGACTGGAAAGGATAGGGTAGAACTACTGATCTTCAATGTCTCCCTTGACCATAACTTGAGATTCTTGCTCTTTTTATTTATTTTTTACCATCTTCCAAAAAACAAAGAAGTAGGTATGATACAGATGGCTTTTGTGTAGATTTTGTTTTGTACAATTATAGTTCTAAAGCTAAGTCAAGCACTAGCAATAAAGTGTATTTGCAGGTGTGCTAAATTTGCTGTAAACTTTGAAAGTCATAGATTCTCTTTTTCAGGTTTTAGGGCAATCTTGGCTGAACCTAAAAATAAAGCATCTGAATCCTCGGAACAAGACTATTATAGTAACATGAGGCAGGAGACATTGGGACATGAACCTAGAGTAAATATGTTTCCATTTGGTGAGTAAGCTATCCTTTCTTTTAATAGTGTATGTAATATATACAGTCGGATTTGGATTTTATAAAATATTCTTTTATCAGTAGTCTGTAAATCTCACTTAGTGAATAAAAGTTATTGTGGGGTTTTTGAAAAGTTTGTCATGACTCCTCATGGTCTTAATATTTAATACTTGCATATTTAACGCTATGTGTAACATAGAAAACCAATTGGAAATTGTACATTATATAAGCATTGTGTATTATATAATATATAAGCATTGTTTATAGAATTCTATATAATTTCCAATTATAGTTTTCTATGGTCAGTTATGTATTATCTAAATATTAAACTACATCACTGCCAGTTTTTTTGAGCAAACTTCTGCCTCTGTAAGGACCAAAAAGTATGAAAGACCTATACTGATAACCCCTCAGTATGAGTCCTAAGATTTTATCCCTAAGGTACTGCTGCTTTAAAATTAGGGCTAGAGAAAGGAAAGGAATGACAAACGTAGAAGTTAACGAAAGGGAGAAGTGAGTGATAAAAGTAAGTCCTATAAATATTATTTAGCGTAATCTTTGTTTTAGGCAAAATACTTGCCATATTTTGCAGGTTTGCATACTAAACATATTCCTCTGAAGTTATACTACACATTTCTGCTTATATTTATGTGTCAAAAGCACAGTGGGAACAGTTGTCTGTTTTCACACCATTGGTCCCTTCTGATAGTGCTAATGGCCAAGAACGTGCTACAAAATATAGTGCCTTAGTCAAATGCAATGGACTTAGTCACAGCTCATCTTACTTACTTGAACCTAAAATGTTACGTGAACTCTTGAATGTATAGAAATTAAAAGATGTACTTTTCTTTTTATATTGTTGGAGAACAACAATCTGAGTTTTCAGGTTTTGACAAGAATGACAACAGAGGCCAAGAAGCTATCTCCAAACGCCTGTCAGTTGTATCAAGAGTTCCTTTCACTGAAGAGCAGCTTTTCAGTATTTTTGATATAGTACCAGGATTGGAATACTGTGAAGTTCAACGAGATCCTTATTCTAATTACGGTAAAATAATGTCTATTATTTTTTAATATACTGTGTTTTGTTAAAATATCTTTTCTCCAGTGGCGCTTTTTATGTCAAATACTCTTTCTATGACAATTTTTTGTTTTCTTTTTCTCCGTTTTAAACCTTTAATTACAGTGATACCTTAACAAATAAACCCCTGAGAATATATCTCCTTTATACAATGTCACATATTTTTAAAAAATATTTTAACTCCCACAAAATAGAGCATTCTGTTTCCAGTTATATAACCAAAATACCTCAGAATGGGATCCCTGTACTCCTCCTGATCAATGTTAGGCAAAGTTCTGAAACCCTTCGAAGTTTCCTCGTCATCCCTAAGTGTCTCTCTCTCTCTCTTTTTTTTTTTTTCCCAAACTTTATACCCAAATTGAAACTCCTTCCCTTCACTTCAAGCATCTAATTGCTCTACTTCTCTCTCTACTTCTTCCCAGTCTTAAGTGAAGCAAGGCTCTGGGGTGCCTGGGTGGCTCAGTCATTAGTTAAGCATCTGCCTTTGGCTCAGGTCTTGAACTCTGGTATCAAGCCCCATGTCAGGCTTCTGCTTAGTAGGAAGTCTTCTTCTCCCTCTCTCTCCCCCAGCTTGTTCCCTCTCTCTCTCAAATAAACAAGTAAAATCTTTTTTCTTTTTTTTTTTTTTTTAAAGATTTTATATATTTATTTGACAGAAATCACAAGTAGGCAGAGAGGCAGGCAGAGAGAGAGGAGGAAGTAGGCTCCCTGCTGAGCAGAAAGCCCGATGTGGGGCTTGAACCCAGGACCTGGGATCATGACCTGAGCCGAAGGCAGCGGCTTAACCCACTGAGCCACCCAGGTGCCCCACAAGTAAAATCTTTTTTAAAAAAATTTGAAGCAAGGCTCTAATATCAGCCATTTGAACTTACTAACTAGTTAATTGACTAAACCTAATATCTAGTGTTGGCTTAACCATCTTCTTAATTTTTTAAGTTTTTTTTTAAGGCTTTTTAAAAATGGAGTTATTGTGGCATAATGGAAAATGGTTGGCATTCCCTTTCACATCAGACTCAGGTGCAAATCCTAGCACTGGCATGCGGCTCTGACAACTTGGCAAACTGCTTATCCCTTCTGAATCTCTCTCTCTTAAACTATAAAAGGGGATTATTAATACCTTCTATGTCAGGGTTAGGTAAGAATTAGGAATGCTGTATGTAAAAATACCTAATGCAAGTCCTGGCACATGATAGGCACTCAGGAAATCTCAGGAGCTTATTGGTTTGCTTTAGAGAATTGGAGATGAGGGGTAATATGGAGAGGTCATACTTGGCATCTGTTCTAGTACTATGGATAGACTCGATTTAGTCCTTATGGGGTGTGATGGATGTAAGGGGAAGTAGAAAAGTGAGTCAAGTCATCTGGGCTGGTAGGCCTGGAATGGTGCCACTCTTCACCCAGATACATGCACTCAACTCACTATTACTCTACCCAGCCCTAGTCTTTTAGTATAACTGCCCATCTGAGCCTACTTTGGACCATCTCCAACCCTAACCCAGCCTTAGACTATCATTCTGTATTCTGATTCTAAGGCACACAGTTTGTGGTTTTTAGCACATTCATTGTTATGTATAATTCTGTTTGTTTTGTATTTCTTTCCCTTTTATCTGATATGTTGAAATGTGTTCCTTTACCTTCTGTAACTTTTCTCTGGTTGAATGTGTCTGATAAAAAAAATGTATGTGTTATTGGGACCTTTTTATTAATAGAGGTATCATCATAGAGTTCTGTCTGAATTAGTTTTATATGTTCTTTTGCTTTCTGAATTTTAATTTCATTAAAATGTTGGGGTGCTTCAGTTTAGAGACGAACATGAAATTATAGCAGTGTTTTCTCCCAAGTGTTTCCTCCAAGTGTTATATATATGGGTTATATAGTCTATATGTATTATACTATATTATATTATATTATATCATATGTGAAGGTTATATATTATGAAAACCTTTTGGTTCTGTTATAAGCGCTTGGGCTATCCATATATGGACTCTGGTATAAAATTACCCCCCCACTTCAGCATCACCCTCCTGAATTGAAATCTTTCTCCTTAGCTGAAAGCTCTCCAAAGAAATGTGAAATATGTGACTTCTAATTTGAGAGCCTCTGTTCCCTACCTTTTGTTTTTTTATAAATATCATTTTTCCTTTCGCTAGCACTGCAGCGAGCCTGATGACTGTGTGTTCTTATCAGACTGTATATTCTCCTCATTTCATTTCCTACTCAGTATGATAGGGAAAACTTTAAAATTTCAAAGCAGATTTCAAAGAATAAAAATTTAAGAAGAACTGGTTTTAGGTATATCTATCATATAAGAAACACCCATATCTTAAAATTAAATTCATTGGGCAGAACTTGCTCCAATAATTAACATTTTCCTTAAAATATGTTTATATTTTTGCCAAAATCTGGTTTGGACTTTGTGGGAATATAGTTGTTGTACATATGTATAAGAAAACTTTGTTTTCTGGTCCCTTTGACTCTGTGTTTACTAGTTGTATGATACCAGGCTATTTCTATATTGCTTCATTTTGTGGCAAGACAGGCTTTAGGTACCCTCTTTTTTTCTTTTTAACTCCTGATATTCTCTACTTTGTTTTAGGTCATGGAGTGGTTCAGTATTTCAATGTAGCATCAGCTATTTATGCAAAATACAAGTTACATGGGTTTCAGTACCCTCCTGGGAATCGGATAGGTGTTTCCTTCATTGATGATGGGAGTAATGCAACAGAGTAAGTACCATCTCAGGAGGGTCTAAAGCAGGGTTCTGGGTGTACATGATAGGATTTGAAGAATAAGAATGGAAATCAGTTGACCTCTTGGGTGAGGAAGTCACACAAAACAAGTTACGGGTAAGAAACTGAATGTTTCTGGTTTTCTGTAAATCATCAGTTCTATTCTTTAGTCTCCTTAGAAAAATGGCAACGCAGATGGTAGCAGCACAGCTTGCATCAATGGTGTGGAATAACCCAAGTCAGCAGCAATTTCTGGTAAGTACATGAGAACTTAACCTCTATGATACATCAGTAGGTTATAAAATAAATGTGGCCTTTGTTTATTACCTATTAAGAAACTGTTCAGAGCTACAGTACAAGATCACATAGAAGTCATGATATAGATCTCTTTAGCTCTTGGCTTAAAATCCTTACAGTGCAGTTTTTCTTCTTCTTATTTTGTACCTAACTCTTCAACAGCAATTTGGAGGAAATTCTGGATCACAGTTGCCTCAAATCCAGACAGATGTTGTACTTCCATCATGCAAAAAAAAAGCCCCTCCTGAAACTCCTGTGAAAGAAAGACTTTTTATCGTGTTTAATCCTCATCCTTTACCTTTAGATGTATTAGAGGATATATTCTGGTAAGATTTCAATTCCACAAAGTTACGTATTATAATACAATTTATTTAAACCAGGCATTTAAGCCCTCTCACAAACTTGAAACTTTCTATATCCAATACTTAACAGATAGAAATGATTTGTACTGCAGTTTAAAAAATTCCTATTTATATCACCTTTTAAAATATATGATCATTTCTCTCTCTTCTTTATTATTTATATATCTTAAGTCTCCACATAGAATTTCCTGTTATTTTGTTTTGAAGATATAAAACATAGTATTGTTTTTTAAAAGTTGCATGCATAAAATGGACAAATCATTTGTTTCTTTATAGAAAATACATATCTGCATAGACCTGCCGTGTAGAATTCTTTTTACATAACTTTTCCTTTGTGATTGTAATTCAACTGAACAGAGTTGAATTATAGAAATAATTTTCTATCAGAAATAAAAACAAAATAGAAAACAGCATTTCTATTTTGTTAGCACTCTGTTGGATCCTTAAGGATTATATTGAGTAAACAATTATTTGATTATAAGTAAGAGTACATAATAAATATAGAAAAAGGAAGGCTCTTGTTTATTTTTGTGTTTTTAATAGAACTCCTTTATTCTTATTTCTTTTTGGTCTTTTTCCTATTTGCCTTATAACAATGTTAGCAAATTTTGAAAAATAGGAAGCTCATTGAAGAGTCACACAAAATACCAGTAGTTCAAATATTTTGTCTTTTATTTAACTGATTCATGTAGTTTTTTTCCTAAACATTTCCTTTATGCCAGGCAGTTGTCATACTAAGTGCAAGAGACATTGCATAAACCAAACATATGATGTAAATAAGACATAGTAGTTCTTGTCCTCTGAGAGCTAATCTCCTGTGGGAGACAAATGAGTAAGTAGGATACTACAACCTAGTGAGGTTGGTGTTGTGAAAAGGAATATCCAGGCTATGAAATAAATAAGGGAAGTATCTACTTCTAAAGCTCTAAGAAGCAATGTATAATTAAAACAGATAAAAACAACTTAGAGAAAAAAGGATGTTGTGGGGGTGGTTATTCCTGCAAGAGAGAATGTGAAAGGACATGTTTAGAATATGGATTTGAAAGGGAAGGTGAAGTGAGAGAAGACAAGGCCCATCTTAGGAAAAGCCCACAGGCTATGTTGGGGAGTTTGTCCTTACCCTGGATGGAATCCTTTGGATGGAAATGATCATATCTGTGTTTTGGAAAGATCACTAGGAAGGTAAATAATAGATTAGATAGGGACAAGCCCAGAGGGCAGGGAAACAAGTGAGGAATTTAGAGCATTCCAAGGAAAAGATAATGACTGGCTGAATGAGGAAAGAGACCTGAGTGAGAATGAAAAGAACTTGACTAATAGAGCACATGTTTGAGAAGGAAGATTGACTTGATGGGATGTGGGGAGAGGAGTGGAACTGAACAGGTTGTATTTTTATCAATTTCATTTGATTTTTTTTTTTTTTTTACTTCGTTTCAGTCGTTTTGGTAACCTAATCGAAGTTTACCTTGTGTCAGGAAAAAACGTGGGGTATGCCAAATATGCAGATAGACTAAGTGCCAATGATGCCATTACTACTTTACATGGAAAGATCCTAAATGGAGTCAGACTTAAAGTTATGCTGGCGGATTCCCCAAGAGAAGAATCTAACAAACGACAAAGAACTTACTGATTTTTGAGGTAAGCCCTTTTTAGTCTGAATTTTAATAGCACATTGGCCAGATATTATAACAAGAAGAATATGTGTGGAGTTTCTTTTTAGGGATTTGGAAGTTGTCAGTTAGAAGCATTGTGACTTAAAGGTTGGCTAATAAAACCACGGGTTGGGTTAATTTCACAATATATTTTTTAAACTTGAACTTTATAAACTTAAATGTCTTTGATGTTTACTGAGAGAATTTTTTGCCCTTCTATGAAATAAAATCAGCTTTTAATGTAGAAAATTAAACTGGGTTTTTTTGTTTGTGAATATCTTAAATATTAAGAATTTGACTTTTTACCATATGTTTAGCTAACCTCAAAATTGAAATAGTTCTAAAGATTTTTAACTTGAAGGATTAATGTCTTGAGTTAAAACTTAAGGTAATTTATAATAATCTTTATAAAGAGTGTTTTGACATCTCACTAGTGAAAGGGCTAAAAAGCAGTATCAAATAATATATCTTTTTGGACCCTTTGAACCTAAATGCTTTTCTCTGGACTTGAATGTGTGAGTTTGTGAATTAAAACCACATATTCAGAAAGTATTATTATATGTATATATGTATTTAAAAAGGAACCCTGACAATTTACCAAAAACTCTTGTCTATTATAATAATACATACAGCCATATGAATTCCTTTTTCTTTTAGTTTTCAGAAATCAAACTTACATTTCTTTTTCTGTGATAGTCAAGACATACCTCCATGGCCGAGGGAAACATTCTTTAAAGTAGAAATGTTCAACTCTTTTCACTTCTTTTGTTCTGGCAGTGAATTCTAAGTTTCAGGGGCAGCTGAGAGTTTTTCCCACACATCCAGCTTCCCAAGCCCACTGCTGATCAGCAAGCCCTTAAGATTGTCTTGGAAGTTACTGACTTGAAAGCCATTTTCTTTTACTTTCGTTTTTTTTATGACCAATTGTGGCGACTAGCAAGTATCAGAATGAATTGTCACAAGCCTTACTGGTGATGACCCTTTTTCTGATAGAGCAAGTCAGGTGATTAGTTCCTCCTTCCTAGAAGGCAGTTGGCAATAGGAAATGCCCGTTGGGCCCATTATGAATAATCCTAATTTAGAAATATCTTGAAATGTTTTATTTAGTTACAAAACTCATTTCCATTACCCCATACAATGTATAGATATTAAAATGCCAATGATAAAGAATTAGCAAGTCCTTCCTAAAACAAAGCTGTCTTTTTACATTTACAAATAAAATGTTAAGACCTGAATTCTGGTTAGACAAGCTATCTTCTAAAATAGCTAAAATGTGTTTGTGTCTGTGAATATTTTAACATATAGCTAACAATTATTTTATTCAAAGAATCTTTGTTTTTAAAAAAAGACAGTAATACTAAGTTCTTAACATGGGGGAGATACATGAATTATTCCTGTGGTTGAGCCTTTCCTAGTGATTATTTGTATAGTACAAAAATATTAAACTTAAAAATTAGAAGATCTGCCTTGGAATTCTGTCAACATTTAACTGACTGTGATTGGGCAGATCTCTTCACCTTTATGAGGCTGATTGTTTTAATAGGATTATTGAGAGAAAATTAATTGGAATTCCTTATGAAATACAATAACGTTTTGCAAATGTGAGATAAAACTCTTGCCTTGGTGATTTCAGTGAATCTTTGAGATGTCATCTTATCAAAATGGTCAGAAACTAAAAGTTTAATGATACAAAATATGGCCAGCTAGTGCTGTGCGAATGAAGCTTTATAATACCACATTTTTCCCTGTAAAAATGATATACATTCATCCTGTTCCCTACATTAGAGGAAGTGCATAGTCTTCAGCATGACTGTTCTTAAACTACTAATCTATCCTCTTTTCCTTTATTGAACCGTTGTACCTATTCAGAGCAAAGATAAAGTTGGGTCAGGTTAGCTGAAAATGGTAGGACATAAACAGCTGTATTGGTTTTGAATGTTTTGGAAGTTGCAGGACATTTTTCAAGTTTATTTTTGCTGTAGATTTTCTCTTTACTGTGGACTTCATGAGATGCTCCTCCTTTGTTGGTATATTACATAAATGGTTTTATTTATTTATTTATTTATTTATTTATTTATTTATTTTTAAAGATTTTATTTGTTTATTTGACAGAGAGAGACACCCAGAGAGGGAACACAAGCAGGGAGAGTGGGAGAGGAAGAAGCAGGCTTCCGCTAAACAGGGAGCTTGTGGGGTCGATCCCAGGACTCTGGGATCATGACCTGAGCTGAGGGCAGACACTTAATGACTGAGCCACCCAGGCACCCCATAAATAAATGTATTACTTTAAGGTTCAGTAAAATAATATGAAAGAGTTTCTCAAATTTTACATGATTATGGCAATTGAAATTCTTTGGGAGGGGGAGCATTTTTTTATTTGTTTCCTTGATTTCAGGGGACGTAAGCACCACTCATAAAGGCTGGTTCCTTTTGTCTCTGAGAAATAGGCCTAGGATTAAGTGAGCTATATCTTTGAAATAGGGAAAGAAACTGGTCTAAGAATATAACTTTGAAAGTAATTGAGTTCTATTTTGAATTGGGTTTAATGTACAAAATATGTTTCTCTTTCTATTTGAGGAAAATAAAAATTTTAGTATTTCAGAGCATCCTGATTTTGTATTAATTCACAGCATTTTCCCTCCAGAAATTCAGTACCTGCTTACATCATTCTTCTGAGTAAGTTTGGTTTTGCTTATTTGGGGGCATCTATGATTAAGTAAGCAGATAACGTTGGTTATTTTGAAATAAAGGAAATTCCTAACGTTTTAGGAATACTAAATACAACAGCTGTTTCCTTTCAGGTGATGATTTTCATACTTCTGTTGTGTTCTTTCTACAGAACAAAGACTAAATAATGACATAATCCTCAGCTGACTGACTGAAAATGTGACTGGACGCACTCCCTGTGGACAGTTGACCGCTTTTTTTTTCATATCTCTGATAGTCTGTGCACAACATTGTTTTGTCTGGGGAGCACGGATTGTTGACATGTATTTTTGAATTCACACGTCAGTGCTAAAACTAATATAATAGTTGTTTCTTAGAGCAATATGTTGTTATATGTAGCAGAAATAAAGTTTTCTTTGCTTGACTAAATCATGCCTTATTTATGTGAAAGAAGAGAATAAAACATATAATAGTGTTTAGAATTTGACAAAAGGACATATTTCATTGATTTTGAGATGCACCTTTTTTCACATTTTTATACTTCTGAAATTGGAAACATCTTGATATCAATTAGGTGCCATACTGTTTTTATTTTTTAATGGAACATGAAATAATGGTGCTTCCTTCAGTCAGTTGCATCTTAGATTCAATAAAATATGGTGATTTGCTGCTCAACCTACACATGCAGATTGGCTACTTACTTACACTTAATCTGAGGCAAGAGCCAAAAGACATACCAGAAATATTTTATACTGTATTTTTATAGTTATACCAAAATTTGTTGGTAATTTTGTAAAGATCTTTGAAGATTATAGAGCAATGGTAATTTTAAAAAAGAGTCTCAGGTTATTATTGATATTAAATTTTAATAAATAAACCAGACATTTTCCCTTTATAAATACAAGATATAATGGCTGCTGCAAAAATTTGATGTGTGAGTAATTTCAGAACAGACTATGATAGAAAGAATAGTCATTTCAAAAAAAGATTAAAAATTAGGACCCTACTCTGCTTGTATTTTGAAAATCCAAGAAAAATTTTTAGCTGCTCAAAAAAGGTGTCAGAAACTCAGCATCTTAAAAAAGGTATTATAAATGGTATGCAGTTATTAAAACCACTGAATTACTTCCTCATTATGCCTCTCACATTCTAAGTTAAACTAAAAATAATGAAGGATTAAATTCACTGAGCATAAGAGAGTATTGCAGTTTGACATCCCTCCCTTGAAAAATTGAAATCCTTTTTTTGAATCCATAATTTTAGTAAATTTAGATGAGAAAATTTCCAATCTCATCTTCCCAGGCAGGACTGACTGAATGAGAATGGAATCTTTGTGAACCAAATGGCATATTTTGAGAAGAAAGTAAATGCTCTCATTTGAAAGGAAAAAAACAAAAACAAAACAAAACCTAAGTGAGGAGAGTTGAATAATAATTACCAACAGGTAGACTTATTCATCCTAAACTCATTTACTGTGCACATAGTTTCATTTTCACAGATTGGAACCAGATTGTGCCCCACAGGTTATCAGGCTCTATCACTCAAGGAATACTTGAATTCCCCCAGAAATGCATCTGGCAGCTGGTTAATCTACACAGTATAAAAGTAGGGAAGGTGTTCTCTTAACTCGTACCTGAGTCCATTGCATCGTTGATTAATGCTCATAATTGACAAAAATCTGATTCCTCACAATTTTCACCTTTTTAGTCTTCAAGTTTTTCACTGGGCCATTTAGAAGAAGTTGAATCTTTCAGGTGATAGCTATCATATACCCTCCTGAGCTCCAGATTTTCTGTTTGGCTGAAATAATCCCAATTTCTCCACTCTGCATTTGATGTCAGGGAGCCAGTTTCAGCAACCAATTGTGGTTTCAATAAGGTGTCTTCCGTAGATTTAGTTCCTTGATTCCTTCATATCAACTCTAAAGAGATTTGTAGCATAGTTCTCTGCCTGCAAAACACTGCTTTTACAGTGCAGCCTTCTGTTGCGTTTTCCAGCTTCATCTCTCAGTTGTCGCTTGTAGTTGAGCCCTAAAAGTGTATTTTTAAAAGCCACAATGTCACATTTTTCTTAAAACCAGGAGGTTCTAAAACCTAAGAAACAGTGTTTAATAATCTAGTGCTCCTGTCTTAAATGTTTACTTCTCAAATGCACTTTGGGTATAAGAACATAGATACTTAGATGATCGGCATATGTCAGTTACTAAAACTGCCAACATAGAGGGGTTTTTATTAGGTGTGCATTTAAGCAGTTCAGATGAATAAACTTCTCTTTGAAATATGTGGTTCAAATATAAATAGTATCTAAAATAAACCCTGA